AAAAAAAAATCAGCACTTTTCCTAGGTAAAATTCTTCAGTTTTAAAGACCAGAAAAAAAAAAAAAACAAACCCACGCCATGCAAATGAGCTAAAGTAGCAGTAAATAATACACTTTTTTTTTTTTTGGGCTAATTATTTCCTCTTATTACTGAGTTTGCTCAAAGGGCTCGATGCGTCGGGCCACCATCCGCTCGCTCTCATCACTCCTCAGTCAAACCGTCTGCCGTTTCAGGCTGTCCGTCATCCTGTCATCAGTCCGTCATCCCGTTGCCTGTCCGTCATCCCATCTTCTCTCCGTCGTCCCATCGCCTGTCCATCACCCCATCTTCCCTCCATCATCCCATCTGCTCTCCGTCATCCCGTTACCTGTCCATCATCCCATCATTAGTCCGTCATCCCATCTTCTCTCCGTCATCCCATCGCCTGTCTGTCATCCCATCATTTGTCCTTGAAGCCCTTCCTGAAATCCTTTGACATTTTCCAGGCCGGGAACCCATCAGCACCCCAAAGATGCCGTAGAAATCTGTCTTCCCCCGCAGACCCTCCCCTCCCCCTTGTACGTACGCAACCTCAATAAAAAAAAAAAAAAAAGAAAGAGCCCTCTCTTCCGAAGGAATATCAGGTTTTCCTTGTCTTTTTCCGCTAGCTACGTAGCAATATATTACATTTTTATTTGCTCCAGCGTGGCAGGGAGAAGGTACCGCTGTTAAAAAGAGGGGAAAATTGCAAAAAAGCGTGGTAAAGATGTTGGTGACCAGGGGACAGGAGCTTATAACCTAAGAGAAAACAGTGAGATTTTGGTGAAGCCACGTGTCCGGGAACTGGCCCGCGGCCGATCCTCGTCCCTTCCCGCTCGGCATCCCGGAGGAAAGCAAAACTTTGGGGAAATCACACGTTCCCAACAGGTTTTGGGGGAGTTGGGAGGGGGTTTTGAGGGAGCAGGGTGGGTTTCTCTTGTTCCTGAGCTGGGATTGAGCTTCGAAGCGGCTCAAATTTGGTCAGCAGAGCCAAAACAAGCTTTTGGTGTGGGAAACTCCTGACTCGAGCCCAACCACGACTGGGGAAACCGGGCACTTTGGCCAGACGGTTTCTACTTTGGTTTCCAGAAGAGCCAACATCTCCTTGACTTTGCTGTCCTAGACACCGGGATGAAGACGACCTCCAAGTCCTTTACCAGGCTACCAGGACCTCGTACAAGAGAAGGTCCACGGCCCTTGGGATGCTCCAGGTATTTCACCACGAGCTCGGCTCTTTGGTTTCGTCTTCCCCTTCCCTTTCCTCCTCTCTGTGTGGTGGGACCTGCCTCCCATTCCCCTTTTGCCTCCTTATCTCCCCCTGTTCCCCCAAGGATTTACAGCTGCCCATGGTGGCCACCGTAGCAAAAATCTGCGGGAACGCCATGGAAATGGTATCACCTCTGCTCGCCGGCGTGGTCGTTTCCACCTTTTATGTGGATGTAGCTCTCCTAGAACTTTCTGACCCCAAACCAGCACTCATCTCTGGTGTGTTTACACCCCAGGTGGTCCATCAGGGCAGCGGAGGTACCATTGGTGGCCAAAATTGAGTGGCTGAGCCACAATTGTCGTACCGCAGTGCTGCTTTAATATGAAAAGATGGGGTTTTTTTGGTTTCGCCCATGCTGCTCGCGGCACGGTTGGGTTGGCGTTGCATTAATAACGTCCTGGCTGTGAACCGGTGGTGAGGGTCTTGTCACAGAGTGTGCGTGAACGGATAAATGGTCCAGAAAAGGGTTTGGATAAAGAAGTGAGAATAGCGCTATGGCTTCTTGGCCAAATTCAGGTTTGTGGCTACTTTTATTTGCCACTGTGGCCACCCTAGACCTTAAAGGGGCTGCCGGCAAGCCCAGGCGCCTTCCCAGTAGGGATGTCCCCCACCTCCTGGGCACCAGTTGACAAGATGATGTGACCACCTTACCAAGTGATGGGTCACCTAGCCCAAAACACAAGGACAAGGTGGTCCAACCGCAGCCCTCATAGCTGTAGACGAGCTACGGTAA